TGCGCGAGCACACGTGGTGCAATGGCCGACAGCAGCGGCAAGTGCTTGCCATACATCCCCCACCACGCTGCCGGCTCCATGTTCTTCGCGTTCTCGAGGACCGACGGCCGGCTGAAGACACCGTCGCGGCGCTGGTAGACGGCAAACTCACGCTCGGCCTGCGCCACACGCGCGACGACCCCGGGGCTTGTAGTCGTGAGCTCGCGCCACGCCTGCTCCGGGTTGAGCGACGCCATGATCTCGTCTCGAAGGCACAGGCGCTCGAAGACGATCATCAGCCCCTCCATCGTCTTCGAAACCGGAGGCTGTGTATCTCACTGTGTATCCACTGTGTATCCAGACTGAGTGTGGATTCACGTGTATCCTGTGTGTCCAAACCAGCCCCGGTGTGTGTCCAACACCTAGGAAGACAGATGATGACGACACGCACGAGCGACACACAGACACAAACAAGCTCACAAGACACACAGGCAGCGGGCTGCCACACACCCTGAGTTGGCGTACACATAACTCAAGGCCACATCCTCCCTGTCGCCCCCCCCACCCAGGCAGCACTCCAAGGTGCCAAGAGAACAAACAAGGGCACAACAAACAACAGACGACAGGAAGTAACGTGCTAGGCTAGAGCAGACCGCTCCGCTAACAATCTCGCCGGCCGGCGAGGCACGGACGAGACCGTGTGTGGGGTCTAGTGAGGTGTGTATGGACGCCCTCCTCGCAGGCTAGCGGCCTACTACTAGCCCTAACTCGCACTCATGGGAGATGTCAGTTCATTGTATGCTGATTCTAGATCGCACGCCGTGGCGACGGCGTCCTCGAGAACACACCCCGCCGAGAAAAAGAACCCACGAATTCGCCGACTCGACGGCCCCCTCAGGCTGCGACAGGTCGTCCAAGTGATCTCATCCAATTGCACCGCCCCTCCTCCCCTTGTGCTAATGTAACACCTCGAAAGTGCCAGCTCCCTCTCACGCCCTCTGCTCGCGGCCTCGCAGGCAGCCGTCTGCGTCTCTGCGTTGTGCAACCCCGCCCGGCCTCTCATGATGCGCCAGACGCCGCAGCCGGACCGATCCCGGCTCCTCGGAGCCGGTCAGCGAGACCGAGTCGGGCTGCGAGTCGGCCGACCCGATCGCACCAGAGACCGTTCGGATGCTGCGCCTCGAACTCGAGGGCGAGCGGCGACAAAACAAGCAGTTGCAGGCCAAGCTCAAGCGAGCGGCCAAGCTCAACGAGCAGCTGGTGAGGACCGCCGCCTGGCCCCGCGCCGCCGCCGCCGCGCCACCGCCGCCGCGCCGCCCTCGAGTGTCTGCAGCGGCGCTCTGAGCCGTTGCCCCCCCACCCACCCCCCCACCCCCACCACCACCACCACCACCCACCCCCAACCCCC